TGTGTGTGTGTGTGTGTGTGTGTGTGTGTGTGTGTGTGTGTGTGTGTGTGTGTGTGTGTGTGTGTGTGTGTGTGTGTGTGTGTGTGTGTGGCATTATGGAGGAGAGGAGAGGTGTGTGTGTGTGTGGCATTTTGGAGGAGAGGTGTGTGTGTGGGGGGCATTATTTTCCTGAAGAATTGTGGTAATATTATGAATACTCTGTCACTAAAATGTGTCTCGTTCCCTCCACCCCCACCCCAATGCTGTTGTTTTGGTACTACTGTTGGCTTTACCACTTAAGGTACCCCTCTAGTCCTTTTTACTGTAGTTATTTTTCAGATAGAGTTTTGTGTTTTATTCAAACTGGCCTTGGACTGTTATCTTCCTGTTTATATCACTTTGGACTGTGGGCTTCCTTTTTATGCTTCTCACTTTGTTGAGATTGCAGGTGTGGAATCTTGTCATATCCAGTTTGTTGAGATGAGATCACAATAACTTTTTTTGTCCTGGCTGGTGTTGAACTTTGATTCTCCTGATCTCCACCATCAAGTAGCTGGAATTATAGGCGTAAACCATTATGCCTAGCCCAGGTATATTTCTTAAAGAAGTCAGAATTAGAGATTCTGATGGTGGTCCTGGTTATTAGGTATTCTCAAATTAGCTGTTTGCTTTTACCTCTGAATTTCTTAGACTGGAATAAGGCTTCTTAGGTACAGTTTAACCATTTATGGTCAAAGGTCATCTGTTTAACTCTCCCAGCAAAATCCTCACAGATTTTTGCCTGACCTATATACTTTCTAGAATACTCTGCCATAAAACCCAGCATGATTTTATTTCCTATTAATTTTTTTCCCTACTGGAATAATGACTTTTTTGTTTACATAATTATAGTATATACACAAAATTGAATTATAAGTGGTGTGTGTGTGTGTGTGTGTGTGTGTGTGTGTGAATACAGGGGCCTCCTGCTCTCATTTGGCTTTTTCACCCAAGGATGGTGTTCTACCACTTGAGTCATACCTCCATTTCCAGCTTTTTGCAGGCTAATTGGAGATGAGAGTCTCATGGACTTTTTTACTCTTAACCTCTATTTCCTAAGTAGGATTACAGGCCTGGGTCACCATGCCTGGTTTAAGGAAGTAGTTTCTTTTAAATGGAAGAGCAGTTAATTTATTTTTTTTCCCCAGTGCTAGGGCTGGAACCCAAAGCCTCACACCTGTTAGATAAGTACCCTGAGTTATCAACTTTGATATTAAAAGCTATATCTAACACCTCTCAAATGGGTCTATGTCTAACATTTATATCCATGTGCTTGCTGGTGTGTAATTCCTAAAGGTAGAGAGTGAGCCCTAATTGTCTCTGTGGGTTCTTTTGCATTGTGCTACCAATTGACAATGTACTGAAAATGGTTAGAAGTGGAGTGCTGGTTGCTCATGCTTGTAATCCTAGCTATTCAGGAGGCTGAGATCTGAGGATTGTGGTTCAAAGCCAGCTAGGGCAGGAAAGTCTGTGAGACTCTTACCTCCAGTTAACCTCTAAAAAGCCAGAAGTGGAAGTGTGACTCAAGTGGACTCTTGAGCAAAGAAGCCAAGGGACAGCACCCAAGTTCTTGAGTTCAGTCCCCTGTACTGGCATACACATATGGGGCTGCGAAGTTGGCTCAGTGGTAGAGTGCTTGCCTCACAAGCATGAGTCCCAGGCTTCAATTCCTCAGCACCACATAACAGAAAAAGCTGGAAGTGGTGCTGTGGCTCAAGTGGTAGAGCACTAGCCTTGAGCTGAAGAGCTGAGGGACAGCACTTAGGCCCAGAGTTCAAGTCCCATGACCAACAAAAAATAAATAAATAAAAATATATAATTAGAACCACCTGCACCATACTGAAGATGTAGACTTTTCCCTTGTTTTTCTCCTAAGCAACACATTGTAACAACTATTTACACATTGGACATGTAAGCAATCCAGAGATGATTTAAAGTATGCAGGAAAAATGCATAAGTATTCTACTTATGTTTTCTATCCTGTTTTACATAAGGAATTTGAGTAGGCCTAGATGTGGGATCCTGATTAGCCTGGACTTTGCTACCCAGGGTGGCTTTGAACTGCAAACCTCAGATCTCAGCCTCCTGAGTAGCTAGGCTTACAAGCATGAGACACTGGCTCTCGACTTTTGTTTTTTATTGTTATGGACTATTCGAATTTAGAGGAAAAAACATAGTTGAAAAATTGTTTTCTTGGGAGCTGGTACATAAGAATATGTTATTTAAATATAAGTCATTAAAAAATTTAGTTTATGTTGGTACTGGACTTGAACTCAGGGCCTAAGTGCTTGTCCCTTAGATTTTTCACTGAAGGCTACAACTCTAATACTTGAGCCATACCTCCACTTCTGGCTTTTTGCTGATTAATTGTAGATAAGAGTCTCTGACTTTTTTGCCCAGGTTTGCTTCAAACTGCTCTCAGTCTCTGGCTGAGGTTAAATTAGTATTTTAATTTGTTTATGAATGTGATTTCTACAAATTGATATTATAATGATGTTATTATGTAGTAATGCTCTATCATTATGTACACTGTGCCATTTTATATCAATATAATGTATTAGTATAATATTATAATGAAAGGTTTTTCATTATATTATGATACAGTATTATGGTATACTTTCCTATCAGAGGTATGGTAATATAATGAAAGGGTTTTTTTTTTTTATCATTGTAGGTTTTCTTGAATTTTCTGTGGGGAAATTTAGATACTTTGAGCTCAGCAGGCTTTTTCCCAAGGAGGCCATTTTGCGTCATATTTCAACCAACGTGACTTTTCTTCTCTTTCAAGTACACTCACAGTATCAGAATACAACACTTTCCTTTTCTAAGGTAAGTACAGAGAATTACCTCACTAAAATCCCTATGTTTGATTCTTATATTTAGTTAAAAGCATTAGAATTTTATGTTTTTTATATAGTTTTGACTTTGTGTCTTTCGCTATTTGTGCTTTTGTTTTTGTTTCTTTTTAAATCCAGAAAAAGTATTGTCATATAAGTGATTGAGCTGGTGAGAGCCCTCCGGCCTTTCTGCAATTTGGCAATGTCTGGCTCAGCCTGGAGAGCTGAGTTGTAGTAGAGAGATCTCTACCTCAGCCTCAGAAAATTTAAAATGCTCAGTTAGCCTGTGCAGCTTAGGATCAGAGTGAGGGTGTGGCTCCAGTGGGGCAGCACCAGCCTTGCGCATGAGCCTGAGGTCTTAAACTCAAGTTTCAGTATTGGCACAAAAGAAAAAAAAAGATTTGCCATTCATGGTAACCTTTTACAAACTTCTCTCTATTTAGACTATCTGACCCCTTGACTAATGAATGAGTTTCACCAGAATGAAAAGAGTCCTTTAAAAAGTGTGTTTTATCCAGAATATCATGAGAGATAAGACACTTGCACATTCATGTTCATTGCAAACAGTCCAGGTGCTCTACAGTAGATTTGAAAGATTAAATGAAAGATTAATTAGACTTTGCAAGAGAACCACGCAGACATCCAAGTACAGAGAACAAAGTGGGAAAGGGGGCTTCCAAGACTCCTCCTCACAAAGGAAAAGTGAGAAGAAGCACCGGCTATTGTCTGAGGTGACCTATAAAGCCTAGGTTAAGGAGGGGCTAAAAGGGGCTAGGAGGCAGAGACCCCAGTGTGAACGTGTGGGCCAGGGGCTTCATCATGGTGGACTAGGATGTATGGCTGCTGTCCAAATAGTAGATAAGGGTCCTGCAACTGCCCAAACCTGAAGGTCTCTCTAAAGGGCTCTTGTTTCTTATATGGTGGTAGCTGCCCCAGAGAAGTGCCATCCCAAGGTAAAGGGGGTTGGAAGTTGATTATGTACTGCCTTTACTACATGGGCCTAGTGTTGCCTAGGAAGGCCATGCTAAGCTGTGGAGAAGGGAAGGAGCATACTAAGCTATAGGAAGGGAGCTCATTTGGCTAACAAGATTAATGGATCCAAAAAATGTGGTATCTATACACAATGGTATTTTATATAACCATTAGAAAGAATATTATGTCATTTGCAGGGAAATGTTAAGTAAGGTAAGCCAAGCTCAAAGAGACAGTGGCACATGTTTTCTCTCATATGCAGAAGCTATACCTAAAATATAGGCGGACATTGTAAGAATCCTTTGCGACTATCCCAGGGGACCACACAGAGGCAGGCAGGCACAGGAGGAAGATTATTATAAGGTTTATTAGAGGGGCCCTATCATCCCAGGAGAGGGAGCACATGACGCCTGCCCCTATTCAGGTAGCAGGCAGGTTTGGGGAGAAAAAGAGGGCAGAAGTTAGGTAAATGTGGGTAAGGTATGTGTGTGTGTGGTGGGGGTGTGTGCTGTGGGCAGGGAGTGACCATACCTGTATAGCAGGAACTCTAGGGTAGGGAGGAGCTCAGGTCTAGGTGGAACTGAGGACCAAAGGTGGGGATAATATTAACATTCCCTGCTTTGTTGTTTAATAAAAATAGAGGTGCCAGGTGGGGGAGGGGTATGGGCGGAATGTCATTTCTTCTAGAGCTACTTCCTGCAGTAGAGAGACGATGGTGTAGTCTGGGGTCCAGTCTGGGGTCCCTGATTTGTTGCCCAGCCTGGTACCATCCAGGAAGCATCTCCTTGATGGTTTGGTTGGGATAGAGCGAGGGAAGGGTTGACATTGTCCAAAAAGAAATGTACTCTTTTTTGTTTGTTTGTGTTTTTGTTTTTGGTCCGGTCGTTGGGCCTGAACTCTGAGCCTGGACGCTGTCCCTCAGCTCTTAGCTCAAGGCTAGCACTCTACCGCTTGAGCCACAGCGCCACTTCTGGCTTTTTTCTTTTTGCTTATGTGGTGCTGAGGAATCGAACCTAGGGCCTCAGGCATGCAAAGCAAGTGCTCTACCACTGAGCCACCTTCCCAGCCCCGAAATGTACTCTTATGTAACTGTAACTTTTATGTAACTGTAACCTCATTGTGTACAAAGGGAGGTTATACCTTATGATGACAACAGAAAAATTTAAAAAATTGTTCTAAGCACATCTTAGAATATTCTTAAATGTGGTATATATACACAATGGAATTCTATGCCTCCATCAGAAAGAATGACATTGCCCCATTTCTTAGGAAATGGAAAGACTTGGAAAATATTATATTAAGTGAAGTAAGCCAAGCCCAAAGAAACATAGGTCCCATGGTTTCCCTTATTTGCAATAACTAGTATATGTCTGGGACAAGCAGAAGCAGTCAGATAAGTTGATGTTGGGCGAAATGAACCCTAAGATAAGGTCTCAAATGGTTTCTTCCTTGCAATTGTTTCTAACATTTGTTTTGTTTTGTTTTGTTTTAATTTTTTGTGAACATACTGTACAGAGGGGTTACAATTACATGGGCAAGATAATGAGTACATTTCTTATCAAGCATTGCAGCCTCTTCCTTTGTTTACCCTTCACATCCTTCCCAGCCTCCCCTGCCCGCATCAATCCTCCCACCCCCCCCCACCAAAGTTGTAAAGTTCGTTTTCAACATGAC